CCACGCCATCAGCTATTTTCCGACCTCGATTCGCCGACTTCGTTCGACCCCTATTCAGATGCAGTCCGCATGGAAGGTAATTGCAACGAAGGAAACAGCGCCTGGGGGACCGACACAGAAGCCTCCGCTAAAAGACATGTCTTCAAACATCTACCAACAACCGACGGTAACCACGTTCAATGCCTACATCTTTGGATATCAATCCAATTCAACGACCCCGACCAGCACAGCATTCTATTACAGTACCTATACGAATAGCTACAACTTTCCAGCCAACCACTTCCTCATCGACGACTGGCACTGGCACCTCAACAGGAGCAACATCGAGCTTCCCACCAGCAACCTGGCATTATACTTTCCCACCTACCCGCCATACCGGCTCCAGCAGCCCATGGCGTCACGACCACCCTTCGACAACCCGATCGGCGGCCACATCTCGATCCTTTCCCGCATCAGTGGAACCATCCGGCACACAACAGTGTACTTTTCCCACCCACCCGACCGACCCCCGACCCCACGCTACGAAGCCCATTCACGACCAACTACGATTACAGCATTCACGCAATGCTCGTGCAGCACAGCGTGGACGATGACTTCAGGCTTCACGTTGCAATTGCCAACCGATAGCTGCACAACATGTTCAGCAACCCACGCAACACCCGACTGACGCACACACAACACCACCTGTCACGTCCTCCCCTCGCAGTGGCGATGTGCCGTGCTGGGCAATGGCTGGCCAAGCGATTGACCAGCATCCGCCAAACTACCAACCGCCATCACGGACCAACACCGCCGACATGCACGAGAACATTGGCCACGACCTAGTCTCCAGCAGCGACGACCTTTTTGGCGCAGACAACCAAAGGCAACCACCCAGCAGTCAAACCACCCAGCAACACAACCAGTCAACCACCGACACTTCGACAGCCAGCACCACGACATGGACCCACCGTCAGCACCAGCAGGCTAAACTGCAGCATCTCAAAATCCACAACCACGCGCAGTCCCACCACACCATGCCAGCAAACCACAGCCCAACACCCCTAGTGGCCAATATGGAATCAGGATTTCCTATCTGGCGAGCGTGCCTTTCGAGAAACGCACACCTGAAGTCCAGAACGCAATCGAGTGTCACTTCCCACTAAGAGCACCCCCACCGACCATACCAAACTACAGCGGCAAATCAACCACCAACCCATTGCCCACAACGTAGACGAAGAGCATGCAACATGCGAGGCATGTTCACCCACTTCCATCTGCCACCCAGGCACCACCTACGCAATCCACCCTGTCGCGCATGCGTTGAGGACTCACCACTGGCCCCGTTCGGAGGCGAGGTGCTGCTTGGAAGCGCCTCCCCTCACACTCGTACATGTTTCTCCGATTGGACACGCTTCCTCACGCTCTACCGAACCCGACTCGACCCCACCGCCTCACCGACCTGAGGCACCAGCACCATCAGCACGCACAACACAAGTAACACCACTCACCAGCCATCCCTTCCACAGCACAGACGGACCTTGGCGGCAGGTATTAGGAGCTCATCACGGACGGCGACGCCGTTCCATTGATTGTGGACGCTCCCTATGGTGCCTCAACGTATTTCAGACTTCAGTTCTCAGACCACGATAGCTGCATGCTTCGTACCACCCGTACCGTTTCATGGTTGTCCACGTTGGGCGCAATAGTCAGTTTCAAAGTTGTTCAGTTTGTGTTCATCATGTGGCGTTCGCTTGGATCGGTCCCCCACCAGATGTTTCAACGCTGTGTCGTTTCTCCCACTCTGGACCGCATACATTCTGTCACGAGCACTGCTCGGGCGAGCTGTCGCAAGCATCACGTAGATCCTCAAGCTAGGCCTGAAACAATACTTGTGATGGTGGTCAATCCAATGTGTTTCCGAATTGACTTGGGACACCGATGTCCAGACTATCGTAGTCGGTCTGCGATGCGTATTTTTACATGTTTTCCTTCCAGAGAAGCTTAAACCTTGGACTTTATGAAGCTTAATGCTCGCCAGATGCTTCCCTTCCATGCTACAGGCCCCACAGCACCCAAAATGCACGAGGAAGGATACGGCGCCCCATCTCCGTCCGCTGCAGCGAGCGCGCGGTCCCCCCCTCAGAAAATAAAAAACAAGATTCCGCTTGCGGGGGGGGGGTATTATTTCAGTTATTATTTTTAACAGAATGGATGGTCCCAGAGGTCTTGTGCGAGGTCTTGTGCGGAATGTCTCGTGCGGTCTCCTGTGGGCTCTTGTGTTGGGCTCGGGCCCGGGGCGTCAGTTTGCGATCTTTTGCTTCGTTCTCCTGCTCAAGTCGTCTTGTGCGCGTCTTGTGCGCGACCATTATTGACCATTGCTTCTGTTTAAACGAGCATACGTTTTATCAATATGCGGATGAAGCCTGGTTTGGGCGATTTGTGTTTAGGATGTCCTCAGAATCTGCCTGGTTTGGGACTGGTTTGGCCTTGTTTGGAGCCTGTTTTGGGCCCGGTTTCGCGTGAGACTTCATCAGAATTTGTTTGGTTTGGCATTGGTTTGACCTGGTGTGTGCCCGGTTTCGTTTGGGGCGGTGTCAGAATTTGCCAGGTTTGGCCCCGGTGTTGCTTGGTGTGGGCTCGGTTTCGCTTCAGACGTCCTCACAAGTTGCTTGGTTCGGCTCTGCTTTGGCAAGACTTCGGCAAGGTTTCGCTTGAGACGTCCTCAGAATGTGATTGCTTCCTCCCTCGTTTGGTATGGTTTCGGCCCCAAATGGCCTTCACTGAGGTTCTCGGAGAGAAAAGTCAGCGAATGTCATACATCTGTTATGGTCGCCTGGCGGTCTCAACGCGCAACAGGATGTGTCACGTTTTTCTCGATACGAATGGTTCATTGACACACGTCGTGGTGGGCGAGTATCAACCGATGGAATGGCACGGTGTCATGAATACCCTTTGTGGTTCACGTATAACACGACTGCGCTACACATTCGCGGGCGACATGGGCGTGGACAGTTCCTCTAGGCTGTAGATCGGCGACCTTTCCGAGGCTGTAGTGTACTGACCAGCGTTACGACCAACAGCCTAGACAGGCATCCAGGTGCTCCCACTACGCGGTCGAGTGTGCCCTCACACTTCACCCTACCATCCACACACCATTTCTGATATTGTTTTTACCGGAGGGGTGCAAAGGGGAAGACGAGGGGAGAGAGGAGGAGGAGGAGGAGGAATATAAGAGGAGGAGGAGGAGGAGGAGGAGGAGGAGGAGGAGTATTTGGGGGAGGAGGAGGAGGAGGAGGAGGAGGAGGAGGAGGAGGAGGAGGAGGAGGAGGAGGAGGAGGAGGAGGAGGAGGAGGAAGACGAGAGGAGGAGGAGGAGCAGGGGGAAGACGAGGGGAGAAAGGAGGTGGAGGATGACATTGTCTCGATTACGAATGACTGCGGTGCTCTCCTTTTGCCACGCCAGGCTACTCTGACCGTCTGCAGGGCACAGCCCCACGAGCCGAACTCCCGACACCTCACCAGACCTTCCAGCAGCAATGGCCCACGTACAGCCAGCTTCCGCCCGCACGCCGCTTTAAGCGCCGTGTTTCGCTCCCCTCCCTTTCGGGCTTCTCCTGTCGATGGGGCATCTCATGGATATGCGGGCTTGCATGCTTGTCAATCTCTTTGCGCCGTCCAGTTTACCCGCGGCGTCCGTTCAGGTTCCATCTGGTTTGTTCCCCGGTTGCCTCGCATCAGTCGCTTTGTATCATCCAAGGCGTTTCGTTCACCGATCGCAGTCCGATCACCGTCGAAAAGGATGGTATGAATGATGATGAACAAGAACCTATTATGATGATGAGGATGAAGATGGTGACACTGGTGATAATAATGATGTTGGTGATTGATGTTGGTGATGATGAAGATGATGGCGCGGCTGTTGTCGATGATGATGCTGTTGATGAAGGCAATATATGATGCTGATCATGATCATGAGTATGATGCTAAGGATGCCGATAATGATAATGATGGTGATGATGCTGCTGATGATGGTGATTCTGATTATGACGATGGTGATGGTGCTGCTGCTGCTGCTGCTGCTGCTGCTGCTCCTGATGATGACGAGGAGGAGGAGGAGGAGGAGGAGGAGGAGGAGGAGGAGGAGGAGGAGGAGAGAGGAGGGATGGTGAAAGCGACGGGCGGAAGATGTAGCGAGGGATGGCGGAGGAGCTGGGAGGAGGCAGGCGTGTCTCCCGCCCATCGCTCCTCGCCGGTCACCCCATCCCGGAGGCCGGGGAGGGATGAGGGTACAGGAAGACGGAACGGCTCGAGGAGGGAGGGAGGAGTAGGGGGAGCGGCAGGAGAGGAGGGAGGAGAACGAGGAGCACGATACATGAGGAGGAGGAGGAGGAGGAGGAGGAGGAGGAGGAGGAGGAGGAGGAGGAGGAGGAGGAGGAGGAGGGCGGAGGGAGGATGGAAGATTATGAGGGGGAAGGAGGAACAGGGAGGGAGCATGAGAAAGGAGGAGGCAGGGAGGGAGGGAGGGAGGAGTAGGAGGTGGAGGAGGAGGAGGAGGAGGAGGAGGAGGAGGAGGAGGAGGATCAGGGAGGACTCATTTTTCGCCTCCTTCATGTCCATCCCCTTCTCGTTCCCCTCTTCCTCCTCCTCCGCCTCCTCCTCCTCCTCCTGCTCCTCTTCTTTCTGCCTCCTTCTCCTCGAAGACCCGGCCCGCCGACTCCGTGCTCTTCTTGTGACGTGGACTCCCGGATGTCTCGACCCTTTCCTTCAGACCGGATCTGAGAGTCGTTTTTGAGGGCCCTGGGGTCCGGTGGGGGCTCCTGGAGGCCCGACATCGGCCACGAGCTCGCCGTCGTCATTCGTCTACGGCGGCAGGATGTCTTGGGGTCGTACAGGAGGGGGGGGAGGGGGAGGAGGAGAGAGGGGGGGGGGGCGGGAGGAGCGAGGAGGAGCCCAGCGTTTGGCCGGCAGGGGGGCCGCGCTGGGCCGACGTGCCCCCCCCCCACCCCCCCGCACGGGCAGGACGGGAGCTGGGACGTCGTGAAGACGAAGGGCCGCCGGTGAGGGCACTTTGCCCCCGGCAGGTCTCGGGCCGGACGAAACGGGGGGGATTGGGAAAGGGGGGGTTACGAACTTTGCTGCCTGCGGCCGGTTTCGGCCCCATACCGAGGAGCCCATTCCTCGATAAATATAGTCGCCTCCGGCGCGGGGAGGCGCCGGAAAAATCAGCTACGTGAGCCGATTCTCACCCCCCCCGTTGCTATCCCCCCCTTTCGCCCCGACCCGAAGGTCGGGGAGGCCGCCCGCCGAGGGCGCAGGGGCCGCGGAGGCCCGGCGGGGGTGCCGCCGTCGTCGTCGTCGTCGTCGTGGGTCGTCATCGTTGTCGTCATCGTCGTCGTCGTCGTCGTCGTCGTCGTCGTCGTCGTCGTCGTCGGAGGAGGAGGAGGAGGAGGAGGAGGAGGAGGAGGAGGAGGAGGAGGAGGAGGAGGAGGAGGAGGAGGAGGAGGTAGGAGGAGGAGGAGGGAGGAGGAGGAGGAGGAGGAGGAGCGGCGGCGTCGGCGCGGCCCGACGGCGGAGGCCCCCGCTGGGGCCACGGCGGCGAGGGCGCCTGGCCCCGGGGCGGGTCGGGGGGGGCCGCTCTCCGAGAGGACGGCGGGGGCCCCCAAACGGTGTGGTGACCACACCGTGCGGCGAGTCGGTGGGGGGTCGGCAGGGCTCGTGTCGATTCCTCCGATTCGATTCGATTCGACTTCGATGGATTCCGATTCCGATTCGATTCGACTTGGGATTCCGATTTGGATTCCGATTTCTTATGGGAGGCCTACTAGCCTGCCGATGTCTGCCGATTCGACTTTTCCCGACTCGGCCTCCGATTTCCGCCGACCCGACTCCTTTCGATCGCCGATCCGACTTGTCGATTCGATTCTGGGCTCTCCTGCACCGTGCGGTGAGTCGGTGGGGGGTCGGGGTCACCGCACGGTTTTGGGACTCGAGGCCCTCTCCGAGGATGTCTCGGGCGACGAGGGCCTCCGAGGTCCCAAGACCGTGCGGTGACGGACCGTGCGGTGACGTCTTGGGGGATTTCGAGGTCACCGCACGGTGCGTCACCGCACCGTTTCGGGGCTGCAAAGAGGACGGCGGGCAGCGGAGGCCCGGCGTGGGGGGGGGCTCTGTGCGATCGGGGCGGGTCCAGGCTTCCCAGATGCAAGTCGGGCGTGTCCCTCTCCAGGAGGAAGGTTCAAAAATATGTAGAGAATAGTCAGGGGACGATTGTTCGATTTTTTGTTCGCCATGTTGTTGTATGATTGTTTGGCTATTTTTCATTTTCTTCCAAAATCCGCCTGTAGGAGGACATGCCCGACCTAATCCTAGACTGGGGTCGGTGGATCGAGCCTCATCACAGATGCATCGGTGGTGCGGGTCGATGTGGAGCCCGATTTGCTTCACGTTGACGTTGCCGATGCATCCATCGCCCACGTCGACGATACATCGCTGGTGCACCGCCGCTGCATCGCCGATGCATCGCCGATGCATCGCCAGTGCATCACCGATGTATCGGCGATGCGGCGCAATCCTCCGACTCCATCTAGGAGGTTTCTAAAAACACACACAGACACAATGAATCGTCGACTCCCAAGAAAATGCATGAAAAAACTGAAGTGTGGGGGGGAGACGAAAACCCAGAAACACGTATTGGAAAGTATGGGAATTCTTGGGAGTTGTGTGTGTATTTGTGTGTGTGTGTGTGGTTGTGTGTTTGTGTGTGTGTTTGTGTGTTGTGTGTTTGTGTGTTTGTTTGTGTGTGTGTTTGTGTGTATGTTTGTGTGTGTGTTTGTGGTTGCGTGTTTTGTGTGATTGTGTAGGTTTGCGTGTGTGCTTTTGTGTGTGTTTGTTTGTTTGTGTATGTTTGTGTGTGTGCTTGTGTGTGCTTGTGTGTGTGTGCGTGTGCTTGTGTGTGCTTGTGTGTGCTTGTGTGTGCGTGTGTGTGTGTGTTTGTGTATGTTTGTGTGTGTGTGTTTGTGTGTGTGTGTGTTCGTGTGTATGTGTGTGTGTGTATGTGTGTGTGTGTGTTTGTATCTGTTTGTGTGTGTGTGTTTGTGTGTGTGTCCCTAGGCCCCATGCAGCCACGGCGGCGAGGGCGCCCTGCCCCCCGGCAGGTCGGGGGGGCCGCCCTCGAGAGGACGGCGGGGGCAGCGGAGGCCCGGCAGTGGGGGCTCGGTGCGGCTCGGTGCGATCGAGGCGGGGCAGGGAGGGGGAGGGGGAGGGGGAGGAGGAGGAGGAGGAGGAGGAGGAGGAGGAGGAGGAGGAGGAGGAGGAGGAGGAGGAGGAGGAGGTAGGAGGAGGAGAGGAGGAGGAGGAGGAGGAGGAGGAGGAGGAGGTAGGAGGAGAGAGGAGGAGGAGGAGGAGGAGGAGGATGAGGAGGGGGAGGAGGAGGAGGAGGGAGGAGGGGAGGAGGAGGAGGAGGAGGAGGAGGAGGAGGAGGAGGAGGAGGAGGAGGTAGGAGGAGGGGGAGGAGGAGGAGGAGGAGGAGGAGGAGGAGGAGGAGGAGGGCGTGTTCCGAGGAAGGGAGGGCTTTGATTGCAACTTAGTGTCTGATCGAGTCGGAGACGCCGCCCGCCTCTGGGAGCTTTCCGTGCGGTGGGGCAAGCGGTACGAGTCGCGGGAGACTTCATCTTGCGTTGGGGCTGGGTCGAGGAGGAGGAAGAGGAGGAGGAAGACGAGAGGAGAGAGGAGGGATGATGAAAGCGACGGTCGGAGAATACAGCGATGGATGACGGAGGAGCTGGGAGGAGGGAGGCGCATCTGCCCCCCATCGCTCCTCTCCGCTCACCCCTTCCCGGACGTGGGGGCTTCTGTGCGGCTCTGTGCGATCGAGGCGGGGGTGGAGTCTCTACCGACCACAGGGCAAGCGACACGACCACACATACGGCCCTCCTTGTGGCGCCACATCGGGGGGGCCGCAGCGCATACCACGCAGAAGCCCACGCCAGATCTCCTGCTATACGCTTAGCCCCGTGGGGCCGCAGGTGGGGTGATGTCGTTTGTTTTCTGGCCCACTCTAGGCCTCCCAGACGGGGTCCGAGCTGATAGGGGTCAGAGGATCGCGCCGCGTCGGCGATGCATCGGCAATGCGGCTCGATGTGGAGCCCGATGTCTTTTCTGCCGACGTCGCGGATGCGTCGCCGATGCATCGCCGATGCATCGCCGACGCATCACTGATGCATCGGCGATTTGTGTGCGATTCGGCACGATACTCCGACCCCATCTGCTTGGATCCCATCTGGGAGGCCTCCATGGATCAGGAGGGGAAGAAACACACAGACACAATGAATCGTCGATTCCCAGGAAATATGGGAAAATATGGGAAGTGGGGGGCAAGACAGAAACCCAGAAAATATGTGAAAATATGGGGAATATGTTTATTTGTGTGTATTTATTTGTGTGTCCTGGGGCCCCTTCAATGGAGAGAGTCAGGGGCAACGGCAGGGCCGGTTCGGACGAAAGGGGGGGAGGACAGGGAAGAGGGGGGCGGTTTTGCGGCCCCAGCGGCGGGCGCTCTCCTCGATGCAGCACTTGGCACCTCCGGCATTTGAGAGGCGCCGGAGAAATATTCGCTACGTGAGCTGGTTTGCCCCCCCCCCCCCCGTTGCTGTAACCCCCCCCTGCTCGTCCGATCCGACAGGGCGCGGCGGCCCAGTGTCCCGCGCCGATCCGAGGAGTCCGCGCGGGCCTTCGAGCGTGTTATGGTTCGGGTAGCTTTCAATGCTTCCCCCCTACGTAGCCAGCCCGTCTGCAAGAGTTCTGCACAAGTCTCGCAAGAAGGAGATCCTGAATCTGTGGAGAAACACACACTGTGCAAAACAAACAATCACCGTGTGTGTGGTTTTCCACAGTGTGTATGTTCTTCCCATAGGCTTGTCTGCAAGAGTTCTGCACAAGCCTTTGTAAGAAGGAAGCCCTGAATCGGTCGAGCGGCGTTGTCACCCCATGTCTCCCATCGTCTCCTATCGATCTCTGTCCCTATGCCTCTTCCCACGGTCTCCTGCTGTCTCTAAGAAATGTCCGTTGTCTCCCACTGACTATCCGTGTTCCTGTCTCTATCCCTATCTTTGTCCCGTTGCCTCGATCCCTCTCCTTTTTTTCCCCAACCATCCTGTGGTGTTGGGTCCTCGTTTTGAAGAGAACGCCCCGCGTCAATCCTCCTCTCCTGTCCTCTCCTCTCCTCTCCTCTCCTCTCCTCTCCTCTCCTCTCCTCTCCTCTCCTCTCCTCTCCTCTCCTCTCCTCTCCTCTCCTCTCCTCTCCTCTCCTCTCCTCTCCTCCTCCCCCTCCTCCCTCCTCCCATCCGCCTCGTCACAATCCTGCGTTTCACCCACCCAGGACAGCGTTTCGTGGCCCCACAGTTAGCTCCACCGAAGTCTCCACTGGCACAGGCCGCATGCGTCAACGCCACCCAGGACAGCGTTTCGTGGCCCCACAGGGAGCTCCACCGAAGGCTCCAGTGGCACAGGCCGCATGCCTCAACGCCACCCAGGACAGCGTTCCGTGGTCCCTCAGCGAGCTCCACCGAAGGCTCCAGTGACACATGCCGCATGCGTCAACGCCACCCAGGGCAGCGCTTCGTGGCCCCACAGGGAGCTCCACCGAAGGCTTCGTGGCCCCATAGGGAGCTCCACCGATGGCTCCAGTGGCACAGGCCGCATGCGTCAACGCCACCCAGGACAGCGTTTCGTGGCCCCATAGGGAGCTCCACCGAAGGCTCCGGTGGCACAGGCCGCATGCGTGAACGCCACCCAGGGCAGCGCTTCGTGGCCCCACAGGGAGCTCCACCGAAGGCTTCGTGGCCCCATAGGGAGCTCCACCGATGGCTCCAGTGGCACAGGCCGTATGCGTCAACGCCACCCAGGACAGCGCTGCATGGTCCCATAGGGAACTCCACCGAAGGCTCCGGTGGCACAGGCCGTATGCGTCAACGCCACCCAGGACAGCGCTTCGTGGCCCCACAGGGAGCACCACCGAAAGCTCCAGTGGCACAGGCCGCATGCGTCAACGCCACCCAGGACAG